TCCTGCCTTTGTGATTGTTTGCTGCTGATGGGGATGGAGCCCCGGGCCCCTGTGCATGCGGGCCAGATGGTGCCCTGAGTACCCACAGCCTGGTGCTGTTTCCTGTTTTATAGACTCAAGTACTCTGCCAGTGCCTGCCTGAACTGTGGAATAGGCCTGAACGGTGAATGTGGTTCTTCCGCAGAATCTGCCCACAGAACATCCATTTGAACGTCCTTCAGCCTTGTCAGTCCCATCGCTGATCCTACAGTTCTGCTTTATAACTGCGGTTACTAAAATGACGTGAAAATCACTTGCGATAGTTAGTGCTGGCAGGAGTAGTGATGATCAGCCTCGTTGAGTAGGGGAACATGGTTTGCATTGTTTTGGTGCCTGACAGGCTATGGAAGGTAGAGCTAACATTGTGTATTTAAAGACTTATTTTCCAAATAAATTTCTTAAAAAAGTCTGTGTGTGGGGGGCGGTCTGTTGCCTTTGCCCTTAGGCCAGCTCTCGTGCACAAGAGGTTAGCGGAGTTTCAGGCGAGCGCCTCATGGACGCGTGTTGCTGGTGCAGATAGGAGGGTTTGCCTGGGTTTTGTTCCCCGAAATCTGGCACCAGGAGATGGATTGTGCAGCCCTCGGCCATCTGGGGTTCATCCAGGGTATAATTGTTTTATGTGGAACATGTACGGTCTGTTGAAATCCAGCTCTTTTGCAATGTAGGCCCTGGCGCAGACTCTGCCAATTTGCTTCTCACGGTGATTGAGTGTGGAGGAGCGGGGGCGCCTCTGGGAGACCGTGGGCTCTCAGCTTGGATCAGAAGAGAGCAGGACACAGGTGGAGGGGACGGCTGGGGCGGCCAGAAACGGGCAAGGGGTGGGCACCCCAGCTCTGCCAGCCAGGCTGCGCTGCGACATTTACTGTGTTGTCTTCCCCTCGGTGCCCTGCTGCCTGTCAGTGCCGGCGCAGCTGTGACACGAAGCTTTCAGTTTCCAATGACATAGAGTGTTGGACGCGCCTGCCGTAGGTTTACCAACTCTGCCGAGGAGTGTTCCCTTGCTTGGCATCCTTGGGCCTGGACTCTGTTGCAGTTTGAATTTTTTTTTCAGATTTTGAAGGAAAGAGGACATGTATACATAATAGAGTGAGAGAGTGCATGTGTGAGAGAGAGTTCTTGGGGTAAAGGATCCAAGTCTAAACACAGTATTCATCTGTATGTCATCTGTGTATACTTTATGCACCACATATAGATAGCCTGCTCTTCACTTTACGCAAGCTTTTAGTGGTGTGCTCTGACCATGATCCCTCACCCGGCGGAAGCCAGCCTTCCAAAGGCATCTTGGACTTTGGACTTTTCATTGGGGATGCTGCCTGCTGTGTTGGAGCAGAGCAGGGCTGGGAAGGAGAATGAGCATGGAAGCGGCCCCAGGAATGGGGGAACCCGGGTTCTAACTGACTGTGATACTGCTAGGTCCCCAGCAGTGGCCATTCGTTGCTTATCTGTAAGTCAGAGATTGGGCTGGCTCTTGTCTTCCCTCGTTGGAGCAAACCTGAAGCAGCTTGGGCCCTGGGTCAGGGAAGTGTGGCCTCTGCTGCTGGGGAGCAGTGGTCGGGCGAGGTGGCTGCCGTCAGTGTGTCCTCGTGAGGTGGCTGCCGTCGCTGTGTCCTCGCTCACCACTGGGGATTACACTGACCGTTGCAAATCCAAAGCTGGTGCGTTGCATTGCCTTCCCAGGGAGCTGGAGGGCAGCGTGGGAGTGAAAATCAAAGAAGGTCTGTTTTGTCTTTTGCTCAGTACACTAAAAAAATCAGATCAGGTCACAGTGCCCAGATGTTTTAAGCCTGTAGAGTGGAAAGTCCTTTCCTCCAGTCCAGCACCTGGCGTGACGGAGGGACTGATTTCCCATCACTCGTCCTGCAGTGTATAAAATACCCAGCAGAAAGCCCCTGCTTGGTGTAATATGAGTACTGGGTAGAACAATGCTGAGAGCCGATTTGGAACGACCTCTTCACATATTTAAGTAGCATTATTAATCAAAAACGAGAGCCAGCCTTCTAACCAGCCGCTGGCGTGAGCACCACTCGCTCCCTGCTGTGCGTGGACAGGGCGGGCGGAGCTCTGCATGCTCGCTGGTGGCTGGTGGCTGGTGACTGGCTCTGCAGCTTTTACTCTCCTGACACAGCTTCCCTCACCATGGCCCGTGGCCTGTGGCCTGTGGCCTGTGGCCCGTGACCCATGGCCCGTGGCCCGTGGCCCGTGACCTATGGCAGGTGGCCACTGTCTTTCCCTTGCTGCTCCACGGGATGCCTGCTGTGACCCTTCACAGCCCTTTGCTGCCCGAGGCCTCAGTCACAAGGCTCTACTTGAAATCCGATTGTGAACTGCTCGGTGTTTTATGTCCCCTAAAGCATGTGATTAAAATAGCTTGATTACTACTTTTAAATAATTTACCCAAATGAATGTGTCTGTACATTTTGTTGTCCTTTCTAAGGCGTAGAGAATGTGCTGTCACAGCTACAGAAAAGAAGTCTGAAAGCAAGTCTGGAGCACTGTGGGTTCCTTTTTTCACTGTTTTACAGTATGAAAAGTCAGTTGTGTGGTCGGGGTATGGTAGTTTGGGGTATCGGTTGCTTCTGTTTTTTCAGTCACAGTTTTGGTGAGTGTCGCCTTTTCCATGAAGAACAGTGACCACAGAGTCAGGAGACCTGGTTTCTGTTCTTAATACTACCACTAAAATGCTGGATACCATTGGAGAAGCCGCCTCACGTCCACACGCTTTATTTTCTTCATGTGTAAATAAAGAGGGAGGATCAGACTTGCATGGCTGAATCTCTTTTTATCTTTTTTTTTTTTTTTTTTCCTGAGGAAAAAGTAGTTTTTGGACGCGCGGGCCTTTTTTCTGCCCTTCCCTGTGTGCGTGTGGCCAGCAGCCGCGTCCTGCCCTCTGTGCTGCTGCTGACGCTGTCCCTTGGCCGTGCGCTCCTGCGCTCTCGCCCTTGCTGCGCTAATTTTAGTTGCCCTTTCTGTTTATGACTGTGTGTTTCACTTCTCTCAAAACGCGGAGAATGAAAGTAGAGCTCCCCAACGCACGAGCCTCCCCGCTGAGTCTGCTCCTGGGCGGCGATCTCCCCCGTAGAGGAAGTAGGTTTACCTTCTGGGTTGAAACCCGGCGGCACTCCCGCCCTGCTGGCCTGGTAGTGGCACCGAGCCCGCGTGCGCCGAGCTCCTGAGGTGTGGCTGTTGGCCCAGCCGCCCACGGGCGGGCGGCTCTGGGACTTTCAGGCAGCCTTTTAGCCTCACATTGAGCCTCGGCGTAGCTAAGGTCTGTGCCTTCTTAGTGTGCCCGTGCTTCTGCCCACAGCGCTGTGAGGATCCAGTGATGTGACATATCTGCATGTGTGTGTGTTTTTAACCAGAAATCGAACTCAGGACCTTGCACTTGCGGGCAGTGCCGTGCCAGTATGCCTGGCCTTGCATGCATTTTCTAAAAGTCAAAGCGTGCGTCTGTACTAGAGTTGTATCTACCCCCGCGTGCTGTGTGTTGTGAAGCGACAGTCGGTGCTGTGCAGAGGGGCAAGGGTCCGTAGCTAGTTGGGGGTTTATATAAAGGGTTACGTGGCTTAAGGTATAGCTTAAACTTCGGTGACAGTTTGGGGAGACAGTTCAGATTGGTGGTATTTAACATCAGCACTATGATTTAACATCAGCACTTATTTATTTATTTATTAATTATTTTTTTGGCAGAACCGGGGATTGAACTCAGACCCTCGCACTTGCCAGGGTAGTGCTTATTTCACTGAGCCATCTCCCCGGCCCTATGATTTTTATATTTATTTGGTAAATCATTATATATCTTAAAAGCTATTCTTACACGTAAGTAGGCTTGCTCCATAATATGCATTGGATTTTATTCACAAATAGGCTAGGTTAGTTGTTTTTGGGTAATCGAGCATGATGAATGCTGGGTGACGTGGGCCAATTTTAATGGATTTAGTTCTGTTTCTGTGTTTTGCTTTGTGAATGAAGATTATTAGATAAATTTGGATTGAAGATTTATCCTTTTAGGTTACTTCTTAAAATTTCCAAGTTTGGCTTTGAAATTGTACGTGTGACCGTGCGGCCCCAGTGCGGCCCCAAAAGCGTTTGTAGTTTGGTGTGGAGACTGCGAGGGTGACCTGCGGCAGCAGCCACGCCTGCTCCTAGCCCAAGTCCTTTCACCCCATCACCTGGCCTGTTAATCCGCAAGCTGCTGCAATTCCTCCCTTCCCTTTGTGTCACGGCTCCTCCTCTAGTGCAAATACCATGTGGAGCCATGTTGTTATAGTTACGGTTTGTTAAATAACACTCACAGTTTTTTCAGAGCGGAAGTACGCATTTATTTGTTAGATTCTGGATAGCAGAAATAGATATTTCTGTTATTTTAATGTCTGCAGGTAAGATAACAGATATAGGAGGAAGTGATATAAAACACATTGAGGTCATATTGACATTAGGATTTATCTTCATTTCCCCGTTTCCCTTATAATTTGTATAGTAAATTGATAAACTATCTGATTATGCAAGTAGGAAGAACTGAAGACGATAATAGAAAAGCCCTCCTAATGCCACCGCCAGTCGCAGTCTCTGAGGAGCTCTTCGCTGGTCTCTCTAGAGCCCTTCGCTAGGCGTGTTGGTGGTGTTTCGGTGTTTCTCAGCCTAAATGCCGCCTGTTGCTTGGTCAGAGCCATGTGCACTGCAGGAGAAGCAGCCCCCAATGTGACACGCGTGTTCTGTTGGTGCCTCCCCTCCGCTGCAGGTGCCCACCAGCCCTGGTGCTGATGCCCGAGCCTGGCCGGAGCTGGGGCAGGTGGGGAGGCCTCCCGCGCACCTCGGCTGCTAGGCGGGCTTGGCGGCTCCCGTTGCGCCCGAGCGCTGCGCATGTGGAGTCCCAGTGCACTGAGGCCCAGGCCCACGTGTGTACTTTGTGTGCTTGCCTGCACAGGGCCGTGGCGGGCAGTGACTTTATCAGCCCTGAATTTGTGCTTGTGGCAGCCTGTCCGAGCTGCCTCCCAGCCGCCCTGCTGTGGCTCCAGTCTGAACTGCCTGTCTAGTTTAATTGCTCCGTTGCCTGTCCTATTGCCTGCATTCTTTCCTTTCCATTTTACTATGAAACTAGTATTTTCTGCCCATTTGTGGTGTATTTTACTTCCTCTTTTTGTTTTATAACGGTTTTCATCAAATTGTTTTAGAAAATTTGAAAACGACATCGACCCAGAAAATGTATCATAGGAAATGAGCTTATGGTGTACTGCCTTTTTGTTTCTCAGTGCTGTGCATACATCAGTGTGTATAGTGTGCTTTTGAAGATGGAGTGAGCAGGGCATGCCTTAATTAAAAAAAAAAATTATGTGCCTATTTTCTTACGTTTTTCTGCTTTTCTTCTCTGTAGTGTACACACAGTATGATTTGAGCCTCCTTACGGACAGTGCTGCTGTTAGCTAGACCCCTCTGCCTTGTGTTTTTAGCTCCTCCTGTCATTGTGTCCCTTGGGTGTGGTCTGCATTGTGCTAGGCTGTGTTGGCTGTTGCGTTAATGTTAATGTTAATGTTATTTTTCCCTCCTCTCTTTAAAGGCAATGTGGCTTTGGATAATCTACAGATAAAAGAAAATGCCCTGGTAAGTCTTTTTTAAACCTATGCTAATAACTCAGTTAATTTGTGCACTGGACATCTGGAACCAGATGCCAGATAAAGTGATTCTGTTGCTTAATTTAATGACTTTGGGAAATCTCAGATTAAAAATAGAAAAATTTACCCTAATGAGCAAGATAGTATCTTTTGGAAAATGGAACGTTTCTCTTTCACCTTTCTTGACTATAGCTTTGTAGTCTACATTTTTCTTAGAGAAATGTTCCGAGGATTGAACTCAGGCCCTTGCTTGCTCTTGCCAGGCAGGCGCTTAGTCTACTGAGCCATCTCCCCAGCCCCTAAGAAATACTTTTCTTCAGAATTATCTTTACACATTTTTAAGTTAAACTGAGGGCTTGATTTTAACAAATATCTAATGAATAATTCTAATATAGCCTTATAATGTGGTAATAATAAGAAATAAAGCAAGCCTGTCCGTGTCTGTCTGTCCTGTGTCTCCCCTGTCCTGGTCTAGAAAATAATTTATGTTACTTACTATGGAGCAGACAACTCTTCTACCCCTATTGTTTTCTATATAGCTTGTTGGGTTAAATTTGCATTTATGAAGTCACGTAAGGCTTATTCACATTTCCAGATACTGAACTTACAGTGTATGACACCTTTCTGCATCAGTTTAGTCATCTTTGAAGCAGAATTAGTTTTTAGCAGTAAAATGTCTGTACTTGTGGCTTGAATAAGCCGAACAGTGAGCTGGAAAATTGCAGGGCTGCAAGAGAGAGAGAGATTTTCCTGTGTTTCGAAGGCATGTAACAACTTCTAAATTCTATTCAGAAGTTTAGGAGTTATTCTACTGTTAAGAAATTGGAATAAAGCTTATTTTTTTTTCTCAGCTTATGGCAATATTTTGTAAGAATAGAAGTTTAAGTAGAATTACAAGGATTGGATATTTAACATGCTTAGAACAATGAATTGAACTCTTAGCCTAACTTAAAGAATCTACCTGTTCTGTTAAAATTGTGTTATTTGTTTACTAAATATGAGAGAATTGGGCCGGTGAGATAGCTCAGCGCACTAAGCACCTGCTTTGGCAAGTGTAGTGAGCAGGGTTCAATCCCTGGCACCACATATTGTGCCAGCCCTGACCCCGGATGCGCCAAGCTGGTGACAGAGTCTGGGCGTGGTGGTGCGTGCCTCTAATCCCAGTGCTGGGGAAGCTGAAACAGGAGGATCACTTCGAGGATCCAGACTGCGTAGTGAGACACTGTACCAAATACATTAAAAAAAAAAAAATACACACACACACACACACACACACACACGAGCGCATCCTTCAGTTACTGTTTTCAATTAATGCGTGTGAGATGACTTCCTTTTCTTGTTCTGGCGTTTCATGTAAACTGTGTCCGTCTGTTTAAGTTAATGGAGTTGTATTTGATTTGATTTATTAAAGCAAATTAACCAGTTTACACACCTACAAATACATCTTTTAAACTACAGGGTCCTTAAATTATTCTTGTTAATAGTTTTTGTTTTGAATTTTTTGTGCGGTGTCAAAGTTCAGGAAATTGTTTTTTGGTGCTGGGAATCGACCTCAGGACCCTGCTCTTGACAGGCAGGTGCTGTGCCGCTGAGCTGTCTCGCTGCCCCCCACCCCACCCCCTTAAGCCGTGAGCCCTTTTCTGAATTACTCAAATGCAGAAAATCTGTTTTTTTTTTTTGTCTTTTTAGTGGGCACTACATTTCTGTGTTTACATGATACTAGAGTAACTTTTGGGGGCATAATAATGTAAGATGTCCTTTAAATTATTCTTTTTCCTAAAGAGTGAATTGGATGTTCCTTTTAAAGTCAAGGCTGGGCAAATTGGTAAGTACTTAATTTTTCATGTGAATTACTTTTTCTTTTTTTTTGTGTGTGTGTGTTACTTAATCTAAAGAAGCTTTTCAGCTTGACCAAATGTGTGCGGAAGTTTCGGCCTGCATTAGCGCTTGTCGCGTTCTGAACCTGGAGGACGGAAACAAGGGCGGAAAGCCAGCCCCTTGGGTAGAGGGGCACTTACGCTGGGCTCCTGCTCTCCAGGCGCGGCCCCACTGCGCAGGGCCACCTTTGGCTTGATAGCAGATGTGCTTTATTTGTGAAGGTAGTATAATTTGCAGACTCTATTAAAAAACCTTTAAGGCAGCTTATTTCCCTCTGTCCTGCCATGTTCACCTGCTACATTATGCAGCAGCGCAGCACGGATGATGTTTGGTAAGTACAGTCTTCTTCCTTGCAGCTGAGTTCTACTCTAAGATCGCATACAACTAAGCATACGTCTTTTTGTAAACACTATTTGTTTATTCATTTGGTACAGGGTCTCTCTATGTAGCTCAGACTCAGTGATCCTCCAGTCTCAGTCCTGGGAATACAGCCATGTGCCCCCATGCCTGGTCTTGGTGGCTGGCTTGGGCGTGTGGCATGCGGTACCGGGGATCAAACCCTGGTCTTTGAGCTTGCCAGTCAGGCGCTTAGACCTCTGAGCTATTTCCCTGGCCTAAGCATATATCTTTTTTTTTTTTTTGCGGAACCGGGGATTGAACTCAGATCCTTGCGTTTGCCAGTCAAGCGCTTATCCTGCTGAGCCATCTCCCCGGCCCCAGTGTGTTTTTTTTTTTTTGGCGGCTAAGCATATATCTTTGCTAAAGAAAAATTTCAGTAGGAAATTTAAAAAGTTTTCAATAGGACACTTAATCCCTCCCAGTTGATCCGCACCACTTGGATGCCTTAGTCATACTATAGCATTTTCCTTATGCCATACCCTTTATTAGTATTATTATTTTCTTTTTGAGTCAGAGTCCAGCTGTGCATTTTAGGCATTGCACTCTCTTTGTAGCCTAGACTGGCCTTGAACGTGTAAGGACCCTCCTGCCTCAGCCTCCCTGTGTGTGTGTGTGTATGCCACCACACCCACCTTCTGTATCCCAGGAGTGCTTCCCATCATTTCTCCTCTTCATTCAGTAGTCAAGGTCTAAGAATAGGGCTTTGTCCTTCGCTGCTCCAGTGCTTAGCAGTTATTCACCTGTCTCGGTCCATTTTATATCACTTACATGTCCTGGTAATGTAAAGGAACGTTTATCATGTTTTTGTCGTTGGAAAAAAGAGATACGCCCTTATTTTGGAAACATCGCCAGGGCACGTGCCACCTTCTCTGTGTGTTACGTGGGCCTGTCGTAATTTTTATCGGTGCGCTACATGTTTAACTGAAACCCACAGTGTGGAAGTTACGGCCATTTGTTCACTCTTTTACCTTTAAAATACTCAGACACATGTGCTGTATCCAAACCTCTGAGTAGCCGTGCAGAGGCTGGGACGAGTGCTTTTGCCTCCAAAACATTACAGAGATCTAAAACTGGGACATACGTGGAAACTGCATTTCTGGTACATCGGATCAGTTACCATTGACTAAAGAAATTTTAGGGTATTCGAGTGTAAGGACACTTGAATAGATTTGTATTTTGGAGGAAGTTTTGGGCTCCAAATTCTTCCTGTTTGCTTTTATGGTGTCATAAGGACTTCATACCTTTTCTGGGGTTATTCACTGAGCGTTGAGAGGGCCATTACATATTAGGATATAAAGCGCATTTTATTTGTTCTTTTTCTTGGTTTATGGAGCCTAACTTGCCTGAGTTACTAAATTCCTGCTCAGGTTAAAATGGTGCTCTTAACCTGTAGGGTCAGTGTAGCTAAGTAACTCAAACACGATTCGATTTTCTAAGAGCTAATCTTATTTGTGAGTGAACCCGGGTTATCTTTATACTTAAAAAGTTCTTAGTGGTGAAACGTGAGTAATACCACTAATTGAATCCCAACACCTTTATTTATTTGTCTTTAACAAATATTTTTATTTTATTTCTTAAAAATTTTTTAAAGAGTACAAATTAGAATTAAAAAATTACAAGTGATACAGAATTTCACTTAACAGAGTATTATAAATTTCGCAGCGTATATTATAATACGTAGTGTTGTCTTCTGACCAGTTATTCGTGTTACCAGATACATGTTTATAAAATTGGAAGAAGAAAGAAATGTATAAGAAATTAAGAAGAAAAAAAGTACAAGAAATTGAAAAAAGGAGACAAAACGCCTCCTTTCCGTAGACCAGCAGAGGTGCAGGGTCTCCCTCCGCAGCTCGGGCTCCTAGTGATCCTCCTGTCTTAGCCTCCCTGGCCCTGGGATTACAGGTATGCGCCACCTGTCCCAGTGGCCAGCTTGGTGCGGGACCAGTGCGGCATGCAGATCTGGGGATTGAACCCGGGTCCTTGGGCTCGCCAGGCAGGCGCTTAGACCGCCAGGCTATCTCCCCGGCCTCCAGGCCCTTCTTGGGGGATGAGGGCTAATGAGTTAGGACAAACATAAGAGAGGTTTAGGGGCCGAGCAGTCCTCCCGTGGCATGGCCTTGAGAAGGGTGTTTCCCTGGCTCTAGGTTGTATGCGAGGCAGGCAGGCAGGTACATTTTGTCATGGGATTATGAGATAGCTCTGACACTCACTATAGAATTGTAAGGTGTGGACGGGACCTAGAAGTGTGGTGGCATTAGCGCCAGGTCCCCTGGCCTCAGTCCATCTAGAGACTCAGCACATTTGCAAGCTGGAGAAACATGGGGAAACAAGTGGTACACTTTAGCCCCGGGATTATATTCTCAGAACATGTTGGCTTGCCTAAACAGCTCCTTGGATGGCCAGGATAGCTTCCCTTGCAGATCCTATTTTATTCCCTCTTAAAGTTGTTATATTCTTTATCAATTTTTTTTTTTTTTTTTTTTTTTCTGAACTAGGGATTGAACTCAGGTCCTTGCGCTTGCCAGGGAAGCACTTATTCCACTGAGCCATCTCCCTGGCCCTTCCTTTATCAATTCTTTGAACTTTGGACATTTTCTATTAAAAATGCTATTGATTCCTATGTTGTGGCTTAGTGTGAGTTGAAAGATTCTTTTCTCATGAAAGTTGATCAGCAACGCAGAACAGAGAGAACTACAGATTTTATAATACTATTTTTAAGAAAATTACAAGGAAGGAAGGTATTTGATTTTGGAACATGGATGACATCAGGGATAGGAAAGACTCGGGCAGAATTGCCGGTTATACTACCAGGGGAGCCTGGGCCAGGCGCTGCCTGAGACCTGGGCAGGGGGGTCCTGGGGAAGCGTGGAGGAGGGGACGGGAGAGAGTGCGCAGCAGGCTTGGTGTTGCCCAGTGTAGCTGGCTTCCCTCTCACCCTGCGTCCTTTCCCGTATAGAGCCCCGAATGGGTTAACAAGGCCGCGGCTGCAGTCGTCTACCCCGTGGGGAGCGTGTGTGGGCTCGGCTCCTCCCGCTGGGCTTGGCCCGCTCTGCTCAGACCTGCCCTCCGCTCTGCCGTGGGGGCTGGTGCCCTGTCCGTGGCCATGTCCGTGGGCAGCGCGCTGCGCCCTGCTGAGTTGGGGCGCCATGCTGGGCTGCGAGGCCGGAGGCCGTCCGCCTCTGAGGCTGGGCTTCCGCTGTTAGAAGTTGAAGTCCGAGCTGCTTCGTTTCCCTTGCTGCTTTAGAACATTTAAGTGTAAAGCGTAGTGTGAATTTTACTTCTGCTAGTGATACTGTAGGAGAGAGCTATTGGATTCTGTGTTAGCCTTTTTCTGAGGATGTGTTTACTGTATGCATTGAGAATTTTGAGGATGCTTTTAATGAAAAATGAGAAATTTTTCTTTTATTCAGCATTGAAATATGGATTTAAGATAGAAATTATGTTTCTTCAGGTAAATTGGCTTTGAAGATTCCTTGGAAAAACCTGTATGGAGAAGCCGTTGTTGCGACTCTGGAGGGATTATACCTGCTCGTTGTCCCTGGAGCACGTAGGTTACCCTAAGTCAGGGCGGTTCTGTGATCTAGTGATGCTAAATATTGCCTGGGACCTGCACCTGGTACATTAGTAAGACGCAAATATATGCACAAGCATAGCCGCATTTGTGTGTGAAATATCTTATTATAAAGAATAAATACAACGCTTTAAACTTACCCTATTCTCTGCCAGTAGTTACTGTGCACCTCAGTTTCTGTTGAGACGCATTAGGCAAGTTTCATTATTAGGGAATGGAATGAAATGAGTTGTTACGACTGTGCTGATGTGTTAGTGTACCGGCGTCAAGATAGGAAAATTTATTTTTTACCTGGTTTCACTGCTTCTGATTTTAAATGAGCGTCCTTTCAAAAGTTTGTGTCAACAGAGGTAAATTTTTGAGGAAATTATATTATTTTAATTTTGGTGAATGTTTTTTGACATATTGTAGTTTAAAAAATGTCTTTAGTTACTATATTTTTCACTTGAATGTGATAAACATTTGGATGTTTTAGGGAAAAATTACCTCCAGTAATTCCAAGCATAGTACAAATATAATTTTCAGTTTGCGTATAAATTTTTGCCGTATGCATTGTAGACTGTTAAGTGTCAGCTCTTCCTATCACCGCATTGACCTGTACTTAGCACGTGGAATTTCTGTGTTTCACGGCTTTTCTAGTGACAGTGACAGCTCTGGGAGGCTGTGCTGCACCCCACTGTGGCTGTCTCAGTGTCATTCCCTTTATGGGGAACGCGCTATATGTCCTTCTCTACAGGTCTTTCTGTGTTCTGTTACGTTATGTCCTTAACATACACCATCAGAAATGAGATTTACTAAATTAAAGAGAGTATATATGTTGGTTGTGGGTACAGAACCCTGAGTTAATTTCTGAAGGCTCTTTTGCCCATCTGCATGGTGGTGCTGGTATTTTGGAGTCACTGCGCGTGTCTCGCTACAGGGCAGTAACTGGCAGCATTCTCACGTGCTGCCGCCTTCCTTTTGTTTCTCTTTTCTGTGCATCTTTACCACCTTTTCTTCCTTTCTTTCATCTTTGTTTCTTTTTGTAATTTCTTTCCCCTCTTCCTTTCTTGGTTATGTTTTACAAATCGTTAGAAACCTTTTATATTTAAATATTTTCAGAAACTGAAGAATGCCAGTGTTTTTGAACTTAAAAAAATGCATCATGTTCCACAGCTATAGAAGTCTGAATTTTTTACATTTACTTGCTGGTTTTGTTTCTTTTATTTGATTAACTGCATATTTTTAGGTATTAAATATGATGCTGAGAAAGAAGAAAAATCCTTGCAAGACGCTAAGCAGAAGGAGCTTTCCCGAATTGAAGAAGCCCTTCAGAAAGCAGCGGAGAAGGGTAAAAAAGCTTATGTTTTAGATAACTGAAGTTCATCTATTTTTAGACGTATTTAATGTTCTCTAGACAGGAGGCTTTCCTAGGCCCTTGAAGCTGTAGTCCCACAGAAGAAATCTTACAGTCCTGTCTCAGAATGCTGATGTAAACAGCGTAACACCTGGCACTTGGGGCAGGTTGCCTTTTTCCTGTATTTTAGCTCAGTGCCAGTTTGATTTTTTCCCCTTGGTTAAGTGCTGTCACCATCTACCTCTGGAACCTCTGCAGATTCTCTGAGTTCCTACAGGCGTCTTTGTCTTGGCCAGATATCAAGAGCTTTTCCTGTGTGCTTTCACCTGCGTGTTCGTGACAGAGTGCGTTAGCACGTGAGGCGCGGTCATGCTTTGCGGGGCGCCCCTGCGTCGCCCTGGCGCCTGCTTCTCCTCATGCTGTCTGGGACCTTGTTTCTTCAGCCTGGGGCTCGCTGAGTCTGCCAGGCTGACCTTGAACTAGGCTGGGATGCTCGTGCCGCAGCCTCTGGTGTGTGCCACCACACTCGGCTTGTGTAGAAGACTTGAACAGCTTTATTCTTCCGGTTTCAGTGTTTCAGTGTCTTCCTTTATGTTTTAGTTTTGTTTTCATCCAAAAATAAATCAAGTGACTTACTGGTTTAAAGTGAATTTTTTTCCCCCCGTGGAACTGGGGATTGAACTCAGACCCTTGCATTTGCCAGGCAAGCGCTTATTCTACTGAACCATCTCTCTTCCCGGCCCCCTTAAAGTGATCTTTGGTTCTTTCTTTCTTTCTTTCTTTCTTTCTTTCTTTCTTTCTTTCTTTCTTTCTTTCTTTTTGGCGATACTGGGGATTGAACTCAGGACCTTGTGCTTGCCAGGGAAGCGCTTATTCTACTGAGCCATCTCCCCAGCCCTAGTTTTGGAGTACTGAACAAGAAGACAAGGCTAAGAGGACAACAGCTCTCAGTGGAGCATTGACTTGGAGGATGTGGCCAGACACGTCATTTCTCTCCTTGAGGTCAAATCCTACTTCATTTGTTGATTGGGGTATAAAAACTAATATTTTGTATCATTTTTATGTAATTGTTGACATGTGTCGTTTAAGGCAGGGGCTGGGGATTTAGCTGAGTGGTGCAGTGCCTGCCTGGCAGACGTGAAGTCCCGAGTTCAATTCCCATTTACACCCTGAAAAAAAAAAATTAAGTTACAAGTGATAAATGGTTTTTTCTTTTGTTTTCTTTTCTTTCTTTTTTTTTTTTTTTGCTGATTGGGACTTGAACTTGGGACCTTGCACTTGGGAGGCAGGCGCTTATGTCACTGAACTGTGTCCCTGGCCCAGATAGATTGCTTAGGTGCAACAAGATTTCACTTTTCAGCTTATGCTGCTGCCTCATTGAATCAACAGAAAAGTGTCTTAAAAATAATTGTCTTAGCTGGGTGTGGTGACTGGGTCCTGTAGCCCCAGCTACTTGCTTGGGAGGCTGAGCCGGGAGGACGGCTTGAGGTTCGGAGTTTGCAGCCAGACTGGGCAGTGAGGACGAGCCCTCTCCAGAAGGGGTGCGGGAGGCTTGCTTGTGAGAGTGTGTTGTCATTGAGTTTAGTTCTTTTGGTTATAAGTAGTTGTGCAGAGATACTGAATCTTTCATAACATTTGCTAATACACTCCAAATACAGGCTACCATGCTGGAAGGTGGTACAGGTTCGGTGTATTTTCTTAACACATGTGATTGATAGTGTCATAATTGGATATAGTGATAGAACATGTAATTATATGAGATTTATTAAATTCCAAACTCCTTTTTTTCTTTTTTTAGGGAGTGGGTAACTCGTGATTGCTTAAAAGTGCTTTCCAGTTTCCAGAGACCTGCGTGCAAGGCGTGGTGGTCTTGCGGCTCGCAGCTGGCCGTGCTTCACGTGGGGCACTGTGAGGTCCCAGCTCCCCAGGCTGCAGCGCTCGCCCCACGCTCGTGCCTTTGGGCTCGGCGGAGGCTGTGATGTGTAGCTGTTGCATTGTGGCCTCGTGGATGATGAGATGTGGGTTTGTTGGGACGAAACTGAAATTGAGAAAGTGAGACTTGGCTTTCATAGGGTACGGTAGATTTATCAAAAAATGCGCTTAGGAGATGAATTGCGGAATTAGAAATGACTTTTCCTTTTCTGCTAAGAAATACATCTGAATACCTTAACTAGCCATGAGCACTCTTCCGTAGTTTCTAAGGATGAGGAGATCTTCACGTATGCTTTTCATGTGACTGATGCCCTGCCCTTTATGTGCTTTCCATTTCACCACCACTGATGATCAGTTCTCATCTATACCTTTGTCACAAGTGCTATTTTCCTGTTGCTTTCCTGATTTCTAAAATGGGGAACACACCGAGGTGCACGTGTAGGCCCGGGGTACGGAGCACAGGAATGGTTCATCCCTGAAAGCAGACTGCGGCAGTTCCATGCTTATCTCCTGAAACATGTTGTTTTCTTAAATTTGTTTTACTTGCTAAAATAGAGTGTTGCCCACTCTCCTGTAAAAAAACGAAACTTTGATTTTATTTCTAGAGAATTGGCTTCATTTTGGTACTTTTCTCCTTTTATCACGTTTATGTTCCTAGGAAAGGTATCATAAAATAAGAGGGAATATTAAATTCCTGGTAAGATCAAAAGATTCCTAAAGTTGAGACTGTGTACTTAAAATTTTTGTCTAAGTAATACACACACACACACACATACACACACACACACACACACACACACACACACACTTAAAATTCAAACAGCCAAAAAGACTTCCGACAGAGCGATGCCAGCTTGCTTTCCTGCGTGCTGCTGTGCCTTCCACCCACCCGAGCGGGTCCCAGCAGCAGCGGGAGCGCGCTGCCGTGCAGCCCATTGACACACGGCTCCGGCTCCAGCTCCGGCTCCGGCTCTGGCTCCGGCTCCGGCTCCGGCTGGGGCCTCCTGCTGTGCTGTGGGCTCGGGCTTGCATCTGCCGCTGTCTCCTGCCAGCCCAGATTCCCCTCCTCTTTGTCTCATAACGTGGAGATACCATGATATATACATTGGTTAATGTTTACGCCCCCGTGACAACGCGGTTGTCGGCTGCTCAGTTCGAGCGGTGTGCCAGGGCTGTGTTTCCTTTCTCCTGTTGTCATTTTCCTTGAATTGTACATGCTTCTTTTTTACTTGTCTGGTCTTTTGTGTTTTAAGTATTTTTACGTGTGTCATGAAATTGGCTTGTTACACAAGTGTGCAAGTTATTTTCCAGTTGCCCTTACCCATCCCTCTGTCCTCTCCACCTCTTTTTTTTTTTGAACGCGCGCGCGCGTGTGTGTATGCACGCGCGTGTGTGCACACATGGGAGCACGCTGGGATGAACTTCATGCCTTTTGTTAAGTGGGTGTGTGCTGTGCCCACTAGCCCTGCACTCTAGCCCTGAGCTGGTTTTTGTTGTGCTTTTCAAAGGCCCATTTACGTTTTCTCCTGATAATATTCTTTATTGCTCATCTCTGTTTAATTAACTGTGTCCTCGTTCCCTGGCCTTTTTCTGCCTTTGCTTTCTCCTCATACTCTATTTTTGTTGTTGTTAGAGACATTTAGTAGCTTTAATATAAGTTTGAAAATTTTCATGTCTGAATGCTGTTTTTATTTTACTTCTGGCCTACTTTATTTTGCCTGGGCTAAAAGCCTAGGTTTAAAACCAGGAATTTGCAGGATGCTTTTGAAAAGTCATTGCCAGTCTGCTGTACAGGAAGCTGGAAACATGAGACTTAGGAAGTCCTCACACTCCTTGTCAGGGCGTGCATGTGGGTGAGCAGAAGGACGTTCGTGTGCAGGTGAGCAGGAGGGCGGGTTGCATCCTGATTAAGAGGCCCCAAGTGATGGGGTTCAGGACGCGTGTGTCCTGTCTGTCACCCAAGGAGATCAGAGCGGACAGCATCAAGGCACTTACTCCAGCTGGATGTGAAGCGTGCAGAAGGAGAAAGCGCGTTCTAGATGGAGGGACAGTGAAGGCGAAGCGTGCGCTGCCTGCAGGCCGTCTGGGTGTAGCTGGATGTGAGGCTGAGGGCTGCACTGGGAGAGACTCGCAGGCCCGGGGGTGGTGGCAGTGGGCGCCGGCCCGGTGAGTGTGGCTCCTTGGCCAGGTGCTCTTCAGAACGCCTTGTGTGGCTTGGACTCGAGGAGCAGTGCCCGCCCTGGGACAGTGGTGCTGTCACTCTTCTGTTTACAGTTGAGGACGCTGGATTAAATAATTTGTCCTCTTTGACACAGTGAGAAAATGGTAGAGTTCGAGTTTGATCTAGTCTGCCTCTAGATTCTGTATTCTTAGTAGTGAACGTTAATCTGTAGCCAGCAGGGTGCTACATTTTCCTTACTCTTTCGTTAAAATCCCAAGAAGGGGGGCTGGGGAGATGGCTCAGTAGAATAAGTGCTTGCCTGGTAAGCGTGAGGGCCTGAGTTCAATCCCTGGTTCTGCCAGAAAACTAAAATCCCAAGAAGGGACTCAGCAGACGTGAGGATTCAGACGGTGTGCCTAAGGGAGCGGATCCTAGCAGTGTGAAATGAGGGCGTTCAATTATGAACGACACTATTCTGAAAATGGGTAAAATGGCAGCCAAAAGAGAAAAAAATAGATTTTGTTCCACTTAAAAACCTGTGTAAAATATTTTAATGAGATACTAGCGGTAGCCAGTATTTGCTTGCCTTGCTTAATTTGATTGTGACAGTTTTGATTAAGAATTTCTAATTTGGTATTATGAAAATACAGTTCATATGTTGAAAGCATAAAAATGGTGTCACTGTATTCCTTCAACAATAGATGGCTTGGTGTCGTGAAATTTCAGTTGTCCTGTTACGTGGTTTCTAACTCTTTGAAATGAAGTTTTGGTGCATTTTACACATGACATTCAAGGCGCTTCTAAATGCTTTGCGTTTTGGTTACTGCTGCCGTGTGGACGCAGGCGTACACTCCGGGGAGCTCCTCTGTGGCTTGGAAAGCCTGGTTTACAAGGACGTCAA